AGACTTCCATCCTCCCTTGTTACTTCCCACTATTTTAACTTCTCTACTTTTGGAAGTTCTTACTCATATTATTGTTATTCTGATTCACAGATGCACCTTCTAGTTTATTGAAGTAAAATACTTATTTCTGGCCAGCCATGGTTGCTCAGTGGTTGAGTGTCGACCCACGAACCAGGAGGTCTTGGTTAGATTCCCCGTCAGTGCACATACCTGCCCAGTGGGGGGAGTGCAGAAGGCAACCAATCAATGATTCTCTCATCACTGATGTTTCGCTCTCTCCCTCTCCCTTCCTCTTTAAAGTCAATAAAAATATATATATATTTTTAAAGAATATGGTTCAGATTGACCACTCAACACCATTAGTCCAGACTGTCTGCTGTGGGTGTTAATGGCCTGTAAGTAAATGGCTTATCTTATATTTCAGGTAGATTCAGGTTGAAGCCTGTGAGCTTCAGTTGCAAAGTCCCTCCCTCACCTGGACTCCAGTGAATGTTGAGAGCTCCTGGGAAGCAGAGAGTATTCAATTTGGGGAGGAAAGCCAGTTACAACTGGGAAGTATTTCTACATAAGCTCTCTGGAGCATCACCTATAGTGGTCTCAGAAGAAAAGCACCTGAAACTCCATGCTCTAGAATTTTACTTTGATTTCTTTTCTCATTGTGAATAAATACTCACTTTTATAACTGACTTTGTGTCCACAAATCTTATTATGTTTGTTAAAGAACCACCCCTACCCCCAAGTTGAATAAACCACAGTCCCACAAAAACCTGGATGCAGCATTTATTAGAACTGGCAGCGGAAGGAAAGTTGTCAGAGGTACTGGGACAGAGGCAACGATTTTTTGATGCATGAGAGACAGAAAGGACCACGAAACGCTGGTTCTAAAATTCAGGTGTGCAAAAGAATCACCTGAATCTGTTAAAATGGCACGTTCCCCAGAAGGAAAAAGACAAGTAGGAAAGGAATGAGAATTGGAATCAAGGGCAGAAAGAAGTAGATAGAAGAAAGTAAAACAACCACAACTTTATTAAGCGAAGTAGGAAACATAAACAACATACATAATTAAAATGATGTGTGGAAATACCAGTGATTTTGACACTATTGAGTCTTCATCCCTTCAGAGAAAAGCCAGCACCTCCTGGAGAAACTTAGCATGTTAACCTCTGAAATGCTGGCAGTGCTTTCAAGCTGGACATCTATTCCCCCTGGCACTGAAACCCTTCCTCAAGAAGAATGGGCAATATTCTGAGAAGCGACTAAAATTACTTTCATTCAAAGCAGAGAGAGCAATGTTGAAAATATACTTTCAAGATTTTTAAACATCACATTTCTCCATTACCTACTGATTTATTATACATTCAGTTATAATAATAAAGGCACGTGCCTAAATAAATGTTATTCCAATAATCATTACACATTTGCTTGGGAACAATTCAATATTTCCCTCTCATAGTATAGTTACTGTACAAAAGTGGCGTTTCCAATTTTTTGTTTGGGGGTTTTTTGTTTTTTAACTAGTAGTGACTTAAAAAGGAATAACATTTTGACAACATTGCCTAAGAGTGTGTAGAATTCTATATCTTTTATGGAAAATGATGATATTTTATAGTCAGGGAGTGGAGAGGTCATGGAGTTCATGACTCTGGGAAATGTGGGAGCCTTTACTCTCCGGCTGAAAAACCAGCGTCCTTCGCTTGGGCAGAGAGCCTGCAGGCCAGAGAACAGTGATGATAGCGCAGCCATACACGGGGACGCACACACTGAGAAATGGCCCTTCCCGGGTCATCAGGATGAAGCAAACATTCTTAGAAATGCGTTTGATGAGAGTATACTAAAAGTCAGAATTGGAGCAACTTCAGACAGAGAACTGCTGAGCTGTGCTTGCAGCTGAGTCTCAGAATCAGGTTCATGGCCCAGAGAACCTGAATGATGATGCAAGAGAATCCAGTCCAGCCTGAGACCAAGCCATTTCCTTGTTACACCTCACAAAGGGTCTCACCAGTTCCTGTGTAACTTCACTATTCACACCCGGGCTGGAGTGGCTCAGTTGGTTGGGTGTCATCTCATGCCCGGAAAGGTTGCTGGTCCGAAACCCAGTCAGGGTATTTGCCCAGATTGCAGGTTTGACCCGTGGTGGGGAGTGTGCAGGAGGCCACCAATGGATGTTTCGCTCTCTCATCAATGTTTCTCTCTCCCTCTCCCTTCCTCTTACTCTAAAAATCAATAAAAAATATCTTTAAAAACAAAAATAATTTCATTATTCAGTATTGTATATGAAATTTAATGGACATATATGCTAAAATATTTTATGTAGTTATACATATAGTCTTCATATGTTTTCTTTTCATAGGGCCAATTCTCAATTAAATTTTATTGTCTCTGTGTAGCCTTGAGTTGAAAAATACTTTCTTTTTTTTCTTTTTTAAATTTTATTTTATTGTTTAAAGCATTACAAACAGTAGTACATATGTTGAAAAATACTTTTAATTATTGTTGAAAAATAGAAATCTTGCTCTTTTTTAGCTCTGGCTATTTCATTCAATATTCTGGGATTTCAAAAAGTCAGGACAGATTGCCAGAACCGGTTTGGCTCAGTGGATAGAGTGTCAGCCTGCAGACTCAAGGGTCCCGGGTTTGATTCCGGTCAAGGGCATGTACCTTGGTTGCAGGCACATCCCCAGTGGGGGACACATTAGCAAATAAAATATATTTTTAAAAAAAAAGTCAGGACAGAAAAGCTTCTTTACTAAAAATCAATGAATGTCTGGATGTGCCACATGAGACATATATGTGCGTATCATTCAATAAAGCACTGAGTTATTTTAAATACACAAAACATTATAAAACAAGATGTGCCTTGCCAGTCCCTGTCCAACATCTGTGACTTCCCCGTTAATTGGCTCATAATGCCTTCACTTTACCAACACAGGTTCCCTTTCCTCTTTCATGAGTCCGACCTCTCCATCTCATTCCTCCAGCTGGCCAGGCACTGGGCCTGCCACTTACATATACTTCTGCTTCAGGGTCCAGGGGTACCTTACCTGCATCTTAACCACCAACTGCTTCCAGCCACATTGGACCAATTGCTTTCTACAGCATTAATAAGCACAATTCTGTAAATAATATTGTTCAGTGATACTATGATTAAGCATCAACTTGGTAACAACTCAGTATTACTTCTTTGTAGGATTCAGCTCTGATGGTTTCTGTTTGCCTCTTCTCTGTAATTAGTAGAGATATCAAAATACAAATTCATACTTACCTGGCAGGGGAGATACCATGATCACGAAGGTGGTTTTCCCAGGGTGAGGCTTGTCCATTGCACTCTGGACGTGCTGACCCCTGCGATTTCCCCAAATGTGGGAAACTCAACTGCATAATTTGTGGTAGTGGGGGACTGCGTTCATGCTCTCCTCTGAAAAAATAAAATAAAATAAAATAAAATATAAAAATTCATGGGAAGATCTCATCCACGATTCTACTTGCCTTTCAGTATGAGCAACTCTTCCCATTGAGTCCATTACTCCAAGGGAATGGAAGGTTTGGAGAGGTAGCACAATATTCTGAACAAAATTCTGGCATTAGAGTCACAGACTGGAGTTTGAACCCAGCTCCCTACTCATGCTGATCTGGGGTAAGTAACATCCCGAAGCTTCGTTTCCTCATCTGTAAAGCCCAGGTAATAGCATCACCTTGGAGGCTTGTTTGAAGATTAGAAGTAATACACAGTAAACTTAATAAATGACACTAAATGACTGCTAATGCTACTGCAGTTAGGCAAAAAATGTGAGCCTACCCCTAGACATGCAAGCAGCTACTCCCAATCCTACACTCAAACATTTAAATAATCAGTCCATTGCTCACAGAAAAATGGCATAGTGTGTCCTGGCCAGTGTGGCTCAGTTGGTAGGAGCTCATCCATTCAAATATCTTAACAAGCCACTTATTCATTATCTACTGGATCAGTAATACATACAACAACATGAATAGTAACTATTTCATAAATACTATTAACTCTATACAGAAAACATTGGAAGCATAGTAAAAATTAAATAACTATTAACCATTATGCTTATGGATCACTAAGTAGGTAGTAGCACACACATCTATAGTCTTTTTTAAAAAATATGGTTTTTTTAATTTATTTCAGAGAGGAAGGGAGAGGGAATCATTAATTGGCTGCCTCCTGCACATTGGACCGAGCCTGCAACCCAGGCACGTGCCCTTGACCAGAATCAAACCTGGGACCCTTCAGTCCACAGGCCAACACTCTATCCACCGAGCCAAACCGGCTAGGGCTATAGTCCTTTTTAAATATATCAATCTGGTTTGAGTGCACTCTGGAATAAGGAAAGTTAAATAAAAGTTACACATCTTATTTATATAGTGAATTTAAAATACATTATCTGCCCTATCTGGTTTGGCTCAATGGATAGAGCATCAGCCTGCAGACTGAAGGGTCCCCAGATCCATTCTGGTCAAGGGCACATGCCCAGGTTGCAGGCTCAATCCCCAGTAGGAGGTGTGCAGGAGGCAGCCGATCACTGATTCTCTCTCATCATTGATGTGTTTCAGTCTCTCTCTCCTCCCTTCCTCTCTCTAAAATCAATAAAAATAATCTATAATAATAAAAGTGTAATATGCAAATCAACCGAACAGCCCCAGACCTTCAGACGAAGTCAGGGCTGCGAGGGCCAAGGCAGCCGAGGTTGCGAGGGCCAAGCCCCTTGCACGAATTTCGTGCATCAGGCCTCTAGTAACAAAATAAAATATATGATCTAATATATTACACTGTATCTCAAGTCCTCATTGCAGCTGTTGGCTAGTCAGAACCAACTTTAGTGGCAGACCCAGTGGCTGGCCAGCTGTACCATATATTTATTTCCCCTGTTTTACAGGGGACCGAACTGAGCATTTAAGGGATTTGCAGAAGTTTGGCTTTTACTTGGCTTTGCTAGGTAGAACCGACTTCAGCTCCATTTGAATAGGAGAGAACTCATGCTCAGAGAGGTTAGAGACCTCCCTGAAATCTAAAGCTCCTTAAGGCAGGAATATGGTCAGCTCCCAGTCTAGTCCTCCTGTTTGACTATTCTTGACTCAGTAGCCAGTATCTAGAATCTAGATGCTAAATTGATTTCACTTTAAAGAAAAAAAGAAAGCATCACCTATAAGACTAAAACAAAAAGCCCTTAGTTGTGGGAGATGGAAAGGGTAGAGAAAACATAAATAAGGAAAATGAGCCACAATTTATAACCCAAGTTAAACAAAAAGCTCCCCTAAATTTATATCCTCCTGTTTCCACATAATGAGTCGATTAATCTTCCAACGCCTTCTAAAAGTAAAAAACACTGCACAGCAGCTGGTTTTAATGTTAAAGCTAATTAGGAAAACACATTAAGGCAAGAGAAGTGCTGAAGTTACATTTAGCTCAAGAGGAAAGAAGTCTGTGCATTTGTTTGTGTTATGGACAAGTGTAAGGAAAGAGAAGATAAATTAAAGCTTGTCTTTAATATCCTGCAGCCTCATTTCCTCAGGAAGGCCGCCTTGAGAGAACAGAGAAATGGGTCACTGGTGTTAAGAAGCTGTTCTGACCAGGATAAGAGAAGGTTAAGGACTATATTTCACAGAGTTACCAGACTGGCACGTCGACTGAATTTATGGATTTTTCTGCCTGAACACACAGGCCATTTGGACACCATTTAGCCCCAATTGTCAGAAAAATTTCTTAATCATGGGATGATTTGCCACCTGCCACTAAGTAGCACATTTTAATTGCATTTTTAATAACCCCACAAAGTAGCCTCAGGGGAAAAAAATTTTTTTAAAGCACTCTCACTTAAAAACAAAAATCTTTACGCGTATCTGTAGCCCATCAAGAGAATTAAAGGTCAATATTATGTTTTTCTGGAGTGTGGGGATGACACAGGGAAGGAGGATGGAGGCGTAAGTGTTTTAAAATAAAAGCAGTGGGCACAGTAATCTACAGCAGTGTTTCTCAAATTGTGAAATGTACTCACATCACCTGGGAGCTTGTTAAAATGAAGACTGTGTCAGAAAACCTGGGAGGGGGCCTGAGTTTCTGCGTTTCTAACTAACTCCCAGGTGACTGCTGCGGGTCTGGTCCTGGAGCCACTTTGAAGGACAAAGCCTTTGTTTCAAGGACAGTCTTCTTTCTCTCAGTCTTTCTGCCTTTCAGCAGTCTAAAATAGACCCATAAAGACCCTTTCCTCTCGATCAGGAACTCATGTGATTGGGGGACCTAGCCTGACACGAAGGAGGGCAGCTTTGAGAGTTGGTGTTAAAGAGAGCATGTGCATCATTTTGAGCTTCCAGCTGCTGCTCAGGAAATGCCAGATCCAAGCCATTCCTGTGAGATTGGCGCCCCTTGTGGCTGAAAGGATCCATAGCCGGGCAACTTTATCAGTATTTTCCTAAGATTTTTGCCAATTAAATGTTGGTAGGAAAAAGAGTTTAGACACTTAAAAAAAATTTTTTTTTTATTTCAGAGAGAAAGGTAGGGAGAGAGAGGGATAAAGACATCAATGATGAGAGAGAATCATCGATCGGCTGCCTCCTGCACGCCCCACACTGGGGATTGAGCTCAGAACCTGGGCATGTGCCCTGACCAAAATCTCGCCATGACCTCCCGGTCCATAGGTCAATGCTCAACCACTGAGCCAGGCCAGCTGGGCTAGACACTTTTTATAGAATCATAGAGACCGCGGTACAGAACACCCAGTTACAGTGGTAGAGTAGATTATTGAAGCGATGGGAAAATGTGATTGGGGGAGAGAAACTGATCTATTGAGAATGATAGTTAAGTCCAGCATATTTAGGAGAATTGTGGTAAGGATGACACATCTGAGAAGCAGTGACCTAAAGAAAAGAGGAGAAAGAAATAATAGTCTTAGAAGTAAAAGACAGACACATCTTCAAACCTGATTAATTTTTGAGGCTTTTAAAGTCTTAAATTAGACTCAATAACTGTGAGAAATGCTCTGTAAAAACAAATTAAACTCACCAAGGTTTAATCCAGGGGTCCTCAAACTACGGCCCACAGGACACATGCAAATACAAATATTGTATTTGTTCCCGTTTTGTTTTTTTACTTCAAAATAAGATATGTGCAGTATGCATAGGAATCTGTTCATAGTTTTTTTTTAAACTATAGTCCAGCCCTCCAACAGTCTGAGGGACAGTGAACTGGCCCCCTGTTAAAAAAGTTTGAGGACCCCTGGTAATCTGATGCTAATCATCTAATTCAGTAGTTACCAAATATGGTCCTCAGACCACCAGCAGCAGCACCACCGAGGAATGTATTACAAATGCACATTTTGGGCCCGCCCAGATCTGGTGAGTTAAAACTTGGCGGGGTGGAGCCCAGTAACCTCTGTGTTAAGAATCCCCCAGGTGGTCTTAGCCGGTTTGGCTCAATGGATAGAGCATTGGCCTACAAACTGAAGGGTTCCAGGTTTGATTCCTGTCAAGGGCACCTGCCCGGATGCAGGCTCAATCCCCAATACGGGGTATACAGAGGCAGCTGATCAATGATTCTCTCTCATTGATGCTCCTCTCTCGCTCTCCCTTTCGCTTCTTCTCTGAAATCAATAAAAATATTTATTTTTTTTTGGATAGAGAGTTAGAAACATCAATGAGAGAGAAACGTCAATCAGCTGCCTCCTGTACACTCTCTACTGGGGATGTACCCGCAACCAAGGTACATGCCCTTGACCAGAATCGAACCTGGGACTCTTGAGTCCGCAGGCTGACGACGCTGTATCCACTGAGCCAAACCCGTTAGGGCAATAAAAATATTAAAAACAAAAAAAAGAAAGAAAGAATCCCCCAGGTGGTTCTGACGCTCACTAAAGTTTTAGTCACTAATTTAATAAAATCAGAGCCACATCCTTAGAATTGCAACCCAAGGGATTACAGGAACTGTTTACAAAAAACAAAAACCCTCAACATAACTAGTTACCTGTTATACTTTATTTCACTACAACATAGTGAGAATCAAGTTCCCCACCCGCCCTAAGTTCCTAAGTGTTAGTTATCAGAAAGCTGAACCTGTCCCTCTGCGGGACAATCCTGCCTTCCACCCGCACACTCCCTTTTTTCGATCCACACCTCTAATATTCTGAAAATGTCGAGTCAGGAACTGTGGGAGCGGGAGACTTAAGTCCAAGACAGAACATCCGGGTGGGTTAGCAGGAAGGCGGAGGGTTCGCCACACCTGTGTATGTCTGGGAAACGTGGCTCGCTTAAGTGATGCGCACATTAAACTATCTGAGGGAGGAAAGACTTAGCTCCAAATATGCGCCTCTCACATTGTTGGTGCTCTTGTTCTATCATTAAGAAGGGTTCAGGAATCTGGAGACGGCTGTAGATTAAATAGGAGTCCAGAGACAAAATTTTGAAAGGCATTTGGGGGTCAGAGGAGCTTAGCTTAAAGCAGCGGTTCTCAACCTGTGGGTCACGACCCCTTTGGGGGCCGAACGACCCTTTCACAGGGGTCGCCTAAGACCATCAGAAAACACATGTATAAATTACATATGGTTTTTGTGATTAATCACTATGCTTTAATTATGTTCAATTTGCAACAATGAAATTGGGGGTCACCACAACATGAGGAACTGTATTAAAGGGTCGCGGCATTAGGAAGATTGAGAACCACTGGCTTAAAGGCAACTATGATCTAAGTTCTCCTCGTCTCAGGACCCCATGCTTTCTATTAACACAGTTTGTCCTGAGGTGAGGCAGAGATATACACTTAAAAGGGTCAGGGTTTATACAGAGGCATTGTCAGATTGAGTTAGCCTACCGGCTGTTCAGGTGTTTGGCCAGTAAGAGGCAATAACATGTAGATTAAAATGCCCTTTAGCTGTCTGGGAGCCTAGCAATCATCCCTTTTCAGGTTTGGGGAAATGCCCTCAGCCATTCCCAACAGGTGACAACATATGTGACTCAGCCTTTGTTGAGTCCCCAAGTTCCATCAACCTTTTGATGAAACTCTTGAAATTATGACATGCTAGAATTGGCTTCCGGCATCACAGGGCCCTCTTCTGCCCTCCTGACCTGCACTTTGCTTCCACTGCTTACTGCATTTTTTTCTTGCCTTGAGCAAATTTATTACCCTCTCTAAGTCCCCGTTTCCACACTGGAACATTAGGGACCGTGACAGTGTCAGCTTCCTAGGGTCACTGTGAGGGAGGAGGGAGGTGGTACACATTGCCTGGCACGCCAACATTTAGCTCAGTCTTAGCTGCTGCAAGTGACTAAAAGGAAAAAAACTCAGTAGAGTTGTCTGGGAGTCAGGCATTTGGCATTCTAGTTCTTCCATGATAGCCAGGTGCTCCAGGTTAAAAGAATATTCAGTAAGATTCTTATGAATAGCATCATGTAATCCAATGTATAGGTTTTCGTTGAAACAAACAGGTGTATATAAGCAGGATATGTACTTTTGGTCAAGAAAATGCAATTATAAAAGGCTTTTTGTTTTTTATTAATGGCCTTTACTTGTGTCTTGGTCTTAATTGCTTCCAATTTTCAACTTCATTTTGTAAAGATAATACTCACCCCAAGCCCCGCTGGCGTGGTTCAGTAGTTGAGAGTCGGCCTATGAACCAGGAGGTCATGATTTGATTCCCAGTCAGGGCACATGCCCGTGTTGCCAGCTCAATCCACAATGTGGGGTGTGCAGGAGAAAGCCAATTAATGATTCTCTCTCATCATTGATGTTTCTTTCTCATTCTCCCTCTTCCTTCCTCTCTGAAATCAATAAAAATATATTTTTAAAAAATACCTTCAAATCCAGGTCTCATTGCAAAATCATGGTCCTCAATGTGGAGAAGTTGCTCATATTTCAGGGTCCTCATTCTGGTTTCTTGTTTGCTGTCCCTCCAAAGGGGGAAAATACTTTAGAGATACATATGCTTCGAGGTTTTGAGTTAGGTTAGACTTCAGTGTCAACATGGTATCCTCTGAAATATATACATGTGTGGACTAAAGGAGCCACATGCTGACCTGACAAGCTCAGGGGAGGCCTGCAAGGCAGTCTTGCAAACTCAGAGACCTAAAATAACCACAAAGGATGGTCTGGAATTAAACTTTAACTAAAGCGGTTATGGTGGGCAGTTACGTCCTAGGCCAGTGATGGCGAACCTATGACACGCGTGTCAGAGGTGACACGCGAACTCATTTTTTTGGTTGATTTTTCTTTGTTAAAAGGTATTTAAATATATAAAATAAATATCAAAAATATGTCTTTGTTTTACTTTGGTTGCAAATATCAAAAAATTTCTATATGTGACACGGCACCAGAGTTAAGTTAGGGTTTTTCAAAATGCTGACACACCGAGCTCAAAAGGTTCGCCATA